TACACAGAATTTCTTTCACTTTGTCATTCATTTGTTCTGATGGTTTGGTTTGGTTTATTTTGTCTTATGGCCTATCAAAACCTCAATGGGTTATTTAATGCTGACAAGATTTTTAAGATAGGTTCATATGAATAGAATATGTATTCTTTGTAAGAAATCAGTTTGTAAATTAGGTTTCATTGACATATTTTATTGTTGGTAATATTTATTTTTATCAAAAATGTATTGCTAGTATCTTCATTATAAAAAAATCTATTTTTATGCTTGCATTCTGTTTTGACTGCAGTTTGGTGGTTTACTATTTGCCCATAGCTGGGGCCCTAACAGGTGCCACCACCTCAGGTCAGGGTGGGCCAGAGAACAATAGCATCCTCAAAACCTACACTCTCCTGATCAGAGGTCTTGCTGCCAGATGTAGTTTATCATCATACCCAGGACACATTTGTTCTGATATAAATATATATATATATATATATATATTATATTATATCATATTATTCGATATTCTAAATGTCCAATTGATTTTTCTGTTTTTCTTTTGGTCATCACACTTGTCTTGATATACATTTTCATTACTCATCTTTACTTATTGATTCATTTGAACTAGTATCTTTATCTTTGTTGTTATAGTTCCAATGACTCAAGTGACTATATCACATTCCAGATGGGTTACACTTGATTTAGATTAGGCATCCATAAATCTCAGGAGATCTATGCTCTGGTTGATGTTTCAGACACAGTCTTTCGACTTGTGCTTCCCATTTCATTAGTGTACAATTGATTTATTCTTTCTTTTTTATGGCTTATCAACCCTTTGGAGGTTATTTAAAGACAAAATATTTTAAGATTTTTTTTCTATTTTACATTTTTTTTTTTTGAGATAATAATGACTTTTTTTTAAACATTTCACCCCAAGCAAGGCAGGAGTGCCACTAGAATGCAAGGGGTTGCAGAAAGTGGGAGCAAGAGTAAAGTCATGAAAGAGGAAATGATGAAGAGAAGGATGGGGAATAGATCAAGGCATCTGGAGATATCGATTGACATTGAATTTGAATAGTTGGAGATTATAGCTACCAGGGAAGCAAGTAAGTCTTACTAATTAACCCATAGATGAGGGGAGAAGAGGTAAATTCATATCTTTCCCAAGGGTATTTGTGCATAAGTGAATATAAGAAACAAAACTGGAATTGGAACTCAGCTCTCTGATTAACAATTCCGAGCCATTATCCATTACACCTCCCACACTTACATGCTTACTGCACCTAGTATTCCCAAGCAGTCACCTATCTATCTAATAACCAGGCATGATGTTGCTTAACTTTAGTGATTGTATGCAAATCGGTGTTTCAGTGTGATGTGGCCATAACGGACTGGCTAGATAGAAGATAGAAAAAGATGATGGACATAAGAGTAAGACTAATCCAAACAGATAACTGAAATTTTATAAGATCAGCGTTCCTTTTTAATATGATCATGTCGTCGTCATGTGGGCGATGTTGTGAAAACATATTCGAAGATGATTTTAAAATATTAGATAAGCTCGATTGAACAATTTTCTCATATAAACAGTTCGTTAAGAAATCCTTTCTGTTCTTATAGGAATATGCGGTGATCAATAGATTCTTATATTTTCGTATAAGCTTGAAGTCTTCCATGTTATAAAGTAAATCAAAGATAATTTCAAAATATTAGATAAGCTCAATGGAATGATTTTCTCATATAAACAGTTCGTTAAGAAATCCTTTCTGTTCTTATAGGAATACGCGAAGATCAATAGATTCTTATATTTTTTCATATAAGCTTGACGTCTTCCATGTTATAAAGTAAATTCAGGTTTGTATTTCCAGTAGACAGTCTTTTTCATGTTGAATTGAATATAGTCTAATGTTAATTATGTTTTATGAATATGTCCTGAAGATGGTCTAAAATAGACCGAAACATCTGATGTTGACATTATATTAACATTAAAACAGCATAATTGCATATTAGGATTTTTGTTTGTTTTTCTGTATATTTTTCTTCATATGAATTATATAAGTTTCATTAGAGATGACTGACAAAGTACTGCGATTAAGCTTTTTATTTAGTTTTTCTTGTGTTTGCATAAGTGTTTTCTTTTCTGGACATAATGTGAGTAGAAACTCTCCTAATGTTCTATATATTCAAGTACATTTGGTTATCTTAAAAGCAATTAAATTTTTAACTAAATATATAGATTTTTAGATATGAAGAAAAATATACGGTAAAACAAACAAAAATCCTAATATGCAATTATGCTGTTTTAATGTTAATATAATGTCAACGTTGGACGTTTCGGCCTAGTAGACCATCTTCAGGACATATTCATAAAACATAATTAACATTAAACTATATTCAATTCAACATGAAAAGACGATGGACATAAGAGTAAGACTAATCAAAATAGATAACTGAAATTTTTCAAGATCAGCGTTCCATTTCAATATGACATTATATTAACATTAAAACAGCATAATTGCATATTAGGATTTTTGTTTGTTTTTCCGTATATTTTTCTTCATACTGTCAGATCTATATCCATATATTTGCTTACATTTTTAAATATGTATATCTATAGTGTAGAGACCAAAAAGTGCGGAAATTTAAATATCTGGGAAGTGTTTTAACAGAGAGTGGAAAGAGCAACACTGAGATCTGAAGGCATATAGGGATAGCCAAAGAATCATTCCAAAAGCTAAGCAGAGTGCCGAGAAATAGGAAAATTTTGCTAGAAACAAAAGAAAAGAGTATTAAGCTGCTATGTGATATCTTTCCTCCTCCTGTATGGAAGTAAATGCTGGATGATCTCAAAAATGAAGAGGAGCCTTGAAGCAACAGAAATGTGGTCCTACAGGAGGATGTTGAGGATACTGTAGACCGAACATGTGAGTAATGACAAAGTTTTGGAGAAAATGGAAACAAAAAAGAAACCAATACTTAACAACAGGAAAAGACAGTTGAGGTTTCTAGGGCACATAATGAGGGAGAAGGGCTTGGAAAATCTGATACTCACAGGACAACTAGAGGGCAACAGGAACAGAGGAAAACAACACATAACATACTAAATGAGCTTGAATAAATGGATGGCAGAACAGAGCTTAGGAGAAATAATAAAAAGGTAAAAATTATTAAGAACTACAAGAGACAGGAAGTTGTGGAGAGCTATGTTCGCCTACATGCTGAAGGGACACGTCACATAAAGTATCTATAGTGATGGGAATGTTATTTTATTTTCCAGACATGGTCATCACATTTTGGCTGTGTTAATAGTTGATATTATTGAATTTTGGTACTCAATGAGTACATATATATATATATATATATATATATATATCTGTGTGTGTGTGACAGATTATGAAATGGACAAAGTCCGACAATTATTTTAAGACATTTTTATGTTTATACATTCTTTTTATAGATACAAATATTTAAGTAAATGCACTGTTTATAATAAACAGTATTAAACAACATTTACCGACCTGAATGTCCGAGAAAATTTCACAGAAAATATTCATCCCCCAGTAAAGGCACATCAAGGATAAATATTTTCTGTGAAAATTTCTCGGACATTCATGCCGGTAAATGTTGTTTAATACTGTTCATTATAAACAGTGCATTTACTTAAATATTTGTATCTATAAAAAGAATGTATAAACCTAAAAATGTCTTAAAATATACACACACACACACACACACACACACACACACATATATATATATATATATATATATATATAAGATGCGATGGAAAAATTGTCATCTAAATTATGCAAAAATGAAAATAACACTGACATCTCATTTTAACCTATATATTTACCAAAATTACACAAAACTATCTTGAAATACTAAAGAGTAAATTTATTCAATAAAATCCCTATTAGCTTCAACCACTGCCTCTAAATGACTTCAGAATCACTTGCAACTCTTCTTGATGATCTCCTTGTTTAAGTTGGTGAATGCTGCCATGATCCTTGCCTTCAGTTCATCTTTGGTGTTACAAGGAGTTTTACTGGTCTCTCGCTCAACTGCACTGCACACATAATAATCAAGGCGTTGCAGTCTGGGGAGTTAGGTGGACAGATGTAAGGATTGATGTGGTTACAGAAATTGTCTGGCAGCCATGAATGGGTTCTGCTTGTGTGACATGGTGAAAAGTCCTATTTTTAGACAGGGTCTTCCAGCAGCCACCCTCTTGACCCAGGGCAGCACTACCACTCCAAGGCACTTGATGTTGGCCTCTCAGGCCATCACCAACCAATTCAGGAGTTCTTTTATCAGAATGATCAGAGTGAGTTTTCCCAGCTTTCCAACATTTTCCAAAACCTCTGCACCCAAACTCTCTGAATTTTTCCTATTGGACCTTCTGGCATTAATAGCAAGCAATACAGCATGACGTTTCCAAATTTCTGGTAGAGAGAATTGCATCATGGTGCTCTTTTTCTCACAGACACTACCCAACTGACCCTACTATACTGTGCATTTAGCAAAATCCAAAACAAAGAACAGACCAGCATGAAATTAAAAATATAAAATTGTGACAATTTACCAATTACGTCCTCTGTGTGTGTGTGTGTGTGTGTGTGTGTGTGTGTGTGTGTGTGCACGTGCGCACATGTGCATGTTTGTGTGTTAACCACTTGAAAAAAAAGAATGAAAGAAAGAAAAAAAAACAGTAATGGCACCCTGCTTTTTTTTCCCTGGGGTTGGGTAGTGAACTATGCCGTGCAGCAAATTTCTGAATATATTGTGTTTTGGCCTTCAAAATGTATTTTGTGCTCATCTGTTAAAATTGATGTTATTTATTAAAAAATTAAAATAAAGAAAACCATAGAAAGAATTTCTGAATTTTCTTTTCCAGACGGGAGAACTGTCGGAAATGCTGTGATTATAACAGCCAAGATGAAGTCATCAGTTGAATTGATGAAGAGTAATGGTAATTCCTCATTCTAAAATGAAAATTTCATTCTTTCCATCTTTTGTAGTTGCTTGATGACTTGTCAATGAGCCAGAGGCTGACAAATACCCAGAAGCCGAAATTGGTGCCTGTCGTTCAGAAATTGTACACCCAAACTGGAGAAGAAATAAAGAATATTCTTTCATTGCAAAATGATGATGAAATATGGTTGTCATATGGAGAGCCGTTCATTGATCCTTATAGTAAGCCTATTGATCGTATATTTTAGCCTATACAGAGTGCTGAAAAGTTCATGGCCTAAGCCACATCCCAAAATCTGATAAAACATCATTATAGAAAGGGTTTCTTGGTTGAGTCAAGAAATTTACAGCACCCTCTCATGTGAGTCGTTGTGTGTGTATGTGTGTGTATATAGTACATATTTATGTGCATGTGTGTCTGTATATATATATATATATATATATATTACAATAAACATGCAATCAATTTACAAATACATGAATTATTCACACAAAACTAATGCAAAGGTTAATGATTTTTAAATGGCGAGACATCCATCTACATAAAATTCAAATAAAAAAACAAAAACCTCAACAACATCTATTATATACTCCTTGAAGATAAATTTCTGCCGGAACAGACGAAAAAGCTTTCGTCTGTTCCTACAGACAACTTCATATATAATAGAAAAAATATATGAACAAGGATCAATCTATTATATTCATAACGGATCAGAGGTTTTTGTGCAATATTTGAATTGTTTAAGATGGATGTCTCATTGTTTATATTTAAAAAAATCATTAACCTTTGCATTAGTTTTGTGTGAATAATATTTATATATATATATATATATATATATATATATATATATATATATATATATATAATTATTATTATAAAAAAATTATAACATAAGTATGTTATAAAATCACTACAAAAATAGCCATTCATTCCGTATATACCAATTATATACTTGGGTATATATATATATATATATATATATATATATTATGAAATGGATTAAGTCCAACAATTTTTTAATACATTTTCTGTTTATAAGTTATTTTAATAGATACAATTTATTTAAGTAAATGCTCTGTTTTTTTAAAAAAATAAACAGTATTAATTACATTTACCGGCCTGAATCTTCCAGAAATATTATAGAAATTATGTGCTCTCTGACAGGAATCAAACCTGTATCCTATATAGAACCATCAATTGATCTGGCATGCTATACTAGTCAGCTATAGAGAAGTGTCTGGTTGGCAAAGTCCAAATTAATGCTCTTAAAGACAATCTTCGATGAGCTTTCTGGAACAATTATATCCGATCAAGAGACGTATCTTATTCTTAACATAAATATTGACAACATATTATAAAATGGATCAAGTCCAACAATTTTTAATAGATTTTCTGTCTTTACATTATTTTAATAGATACAATTTATTTAAGTAAATGCTCTGTTTTTTAAATAAACAATATTAATTAAATTTACCAGCCTGAATATATATATATATATATATATATATATATATATATATATATATATATATATATATATATAACTATTCCTTATAATATATTGAGGAAACTTGCAGAAATTTAGAAAAATGCATCTATGAACACAAAAAGGATCTTATACATAATTTATCAAATGCATTAGTCATGCATAGAAATAAATTTCTAAAGAAAAGGATGGATTTTTGTTAATTAATCTGACAGATTTTATTAATTAAACATTGTTTTTAGTGGACACTGTTTATTTATTAAACAGTATACTTATTTATTTTCATCTGCCAGTCTGAATGTTTGAGAAACCTTATTAAAGAAAGATATGTGCTCATTTTATTTATTAAATTATAGTTTTCTATTTCTCGAATATCATTATTAAATTTAAAAGTTTTGTAAAACTAACAACATTTTAATTTTTTTTGATAAACATTGTTGCAAAATAAAATCATTACATTTTCCATCATATGTGGGTCTATATATATACATATTTATGTGTACTTATATATATCATATATATAAATACATATAAATAGCTATATATATATATACATATATTATATGTCTATATATATATATAAACAATTATTCCATGAATATGTTTCATCTATCTATCTATCTATCTATCTATCTATCTATCTATCTATCTATCTATCTATCTATCTATCTATCTTAGTCTGTCTATATCTATCTATCTATCTATCTATCTACCTATCTATCTATCTATCTATCTATCTATCTATCTATCTTTTTTCTATCTTTCTCTGTTCCAATCTATCTAATCTATCTATCTATCTATCTATCTATATATATATATATATATATATATATATATATATATATATCAATTAGTCTGTTTATCTACCTCAGTATGTTCTTACCTATTTATTTGTATAATTATTTATTGCAGTATTTGCCTATCTTTCTATCTATTGCACTTTGTTCCTATCTATCTATCTATCTATCTATCTATCTATCTATGTAGATGTGTGTGATTACAATTCATCCCTTTTTTCTAAAAATCTGGGATTACAATGAGTTAAATCACGCAAAAATATTTTTTTCTTGCTGGAAAATTGGCAGAATTTTCTATTGTGATTAAAAACTGAGCTTTGTGGCAATTTCAGAAATAACCTTTCTTTGTTGAAAGATAATAATGAAAGATAATAACTGTGGAAATGTCATTAGAATTCAACTTCTATTTTTTATATTCACGCCATATTCTTGTCATAGCATGTCTTCATTCATTCTGCACTGAGATTGAAATGATAAGCGCTTTGTGATTTCTTCTATTTTAATGCATTTTTTTTTTTACCTTTTCTTTTTCAAATTTAGTGTGATTAGAAGTGCAGTTTATGAGAATATGGAGGAAAGATTAGAAGGTTATTTGAGAGGTGAAAAGACAATTAGTTTCTATTGATTCATTTTAAGACAGCAGAAGCAAATTTGGAAAACAAGCTGAGAGAAAATGCGGATATTAATGTTTTATCACTTTAAACACTGATATTTAGTGGATACCCATATTTGAGTAGACGTTCTGTTTTTTTTATTAAACAGTATATTTATTTATTATTGTTTACTGGACTGAATATTCAGAAAATCATATTAAAGAAAACATTTGTGCTCTCCAGCTATATTCAAACCTGCATCCTGATGATCTAATCTGAAATAACTTCACCATGCACCACTTTTGGAAAGTGTCTGAAAACCATACCACAGCTTGACTCCAGCCTTGTCTGTGAAACTGGGTAGGTGGAAGTATTTGGGAGCTGTCAATGGTTATGCTTGCACAAATTCACATGTCATTATGACTGAGGGTTTGAGTGTACTAGTCTTGTTCAGACCGTTGATCATGGTAGATAATGTACTCTCTCCCATATGCTGTAACTAAGGTTCACACAGCATAGGTGCAGTATAAACAACAGGTGGGCACTGTCTGTTTTGAACAAACACAAATGCACCTGAGTCGTTTTTTTCAACAGGGATTGGCTAGCCACCCTAGTAGACCAGACTACTCAGATACAAATGGCCCACCATTATAGCTTGAGTAGCTCTTGAGCTTTTTATTGGGTGAATAATAATAAAAATAAAAAACTTGGTATGGATCAGTTATAAGAAGTTTTGTATAGGAGATAAAGAAATTTTAGAAATTATAGATTGTGCTAAAAGGGCTTTGGTCTGAAAGACCAAAGCACTTTTAGCACAATCTATAATATATAACCATATCACTTGAATCTATAATCTATCATATAACCATATCACTTGAATCTATAATCTATCATATAACCATATCACTTGAATCTATAATCTTCAATCTATAATATAATAACCATATCACTTGAAGATTTCTAACAGTAACACCAATGAAAATGGGTACCACATGTGTTGGGTTAACCCCTCCTACTTTTTTAAACCAGTACTAGGGGGCGCTTTTGGACTATAAATACCCTGCTACAAAACAAAAATATTAACTTGAGAACCCAAGTCATATTCTTAAATAGCCACATCAGATCTATATTCTTATAATGGATGTTATGCATGGTGTCCAGCCTTTTCAGAAATGTCTAACCCAGCAGTTTTCAACTGGGATTCATATGAACCACAGGGGTTCATATAACATTTCTTGGGGTCCACACAAAAAAATAGCAAATTCAGGTTTTGTGGTAATTTTTTAGTTTTACCATAGAGCAATTTAACTTTCAAACAGTTGATACAACTGAGAATTGGAATTTCTACAGTAATCTAGGTCATAGCAAAATACTAAAAATAGAGAAATGACTCTAAGACTAGCAGAAAATGTGATCAAGTGATGTAAGTTAGCATCCCTTTTACTCTACCTGAGGCTTTGATTGTAAAAGCTGAATAAAAACTGAGACAGATATATAAAGGTAGGATTATATAAAGATTATAATTTATTATAATAATCAATTTGATATATTAATGATAAATATTAATATATTGGTTTTAATTAATTAATATAGTAATAGACTCGATATAGTGAAAAGGGGTGATCTTTGACTATCAGTGATATGAATGGAATTAAATATTAAAAAAAACTTGCAGAGCCGTATCAACCACAGGGATCTCACTGAATAAATCTACACTTTTTTAAGTTATTAAATACTCACATGTTTTTAAATGGTTTATTATGAGTTATTTTACTAGTGCACATAAATTTTCCATAGAATTTAGTTGTTAAATACAAGTTTATTTTCATTAAATTAGTTTTACTTTGTTTTAAAGCATATACATTTACTATTTCTATAATACAATTCCTAAACTTATCTGTTAGTAAAAAATAAAAAAAGTTTTTTTTTTTTCTTGAATGGTTATGGAGATCCAACAAAAAAATTAAGAGTAAAAGTGGTCCATGGGTAAAAACATTGAGGACCACTTGTCTAATGTATTATCTATAGCCAACTGTTAAAAATAAATTGAAAGGTATGAATCCTTTAGATTTTAAAGGAGACAGTCACTCATTAGACCCTATAGACTGGTGCTACAGAATCATAAAATAACTTTAGCAAATAACTAAAACCATATCACTTGAAGATTTCTAACAGTAACTCCAATGAAAATGGGTACCACATGTGTCGGGTTAACCCCTCCTACTTTTTGAAACCAGTACTAGGGGGCGCTTTTGGACTATAAATACCCTGCAAATTTTTTTCTCACTCACTTCTTATCCACTTATTTGGCAGTATGTAACCTCTTGCAGAGAACATGTTTCCTTTGGGAAACACATGAACAATACACACA